CTTTTCAGGTCTAATTTTAGACTTTTCAGGTCTAGTTTTCCCACATTACTGGAAAGGGACCCTCTTTCATTTCAGGTATCAGATTTAGACTTTTCTCCACTCACAGCCATACACATGCGTCCAAATCGTGATAGTTTACTGTCCTTGAGTGAAGTTCCTCAGTGAGGCTGCTGGGGAGATGGGAAGGACAAGGAGAGATAAAGTACACTACTTGGGTATGTCTTAAAGAAGCATTCTGGAAATTAACCAACTAACTAACACTGTGGTACTGGAGGTGTCAGGTGCTACTGGTGCTGTAAGACTGGTTAACTGGAAGGCAGATACCCCCCAGCTGGGGGCTCTCAGCCAGAGGGGTGCCGCCCATCAGGGAAAATTTGGGGCTGTGCAGAGGTGGTTTTGGCGGCCAACGTGTCAAGGTGGGTAGGGGCCCCATGTGTTAGATGTCCTGCTACATAGACCCGCAGGCACAAAAAGAACATTGCCCAAACTGCTAGTAGTAACCCAGGTGAGGTCACATGAGTAGATAAAAACCTTTCTGAAATGAGGGAAATACATTACTTAAGAGGAATCCTGTGCATTCCCGCTCTCCCTCGGACTCAGGAGCCTGACTCTTGAAGCAGTCATCTGTTGGCTACTTTCTTAGGTAAAATGTCAAATAGAATCTTCTCTGCAAGTTAATTATATTTAGTCCATCTGAAGATATTTCCAAATTGTCCTAACTTTGTGGGATTTTTTTTCCTTTCCATTATGGGAGGGGATAATCACAGTATTATTTTATGTCCCTACTTGTTCTGGTTAATATAAAATAAATCCTATTATACATAATTCCATGGGGCTTTGCAAATTATTTTACTGGTTCTAATAAAGGTCTACCCTTGACATGTGCACAGAGCATGTAGGCTGAAGTGCATTGTAAAGTGATGGGTCTGTGGCCCCCACTTTGTATGGGATGACTTAATGACGTGATTTGACTAGAGACATAAAAACGCTTAGGGAGGAAGAAATTAATACCATATCATGCCCTTGCTCAGAAGTCTATCCATTCTCTGTCTCTTTGCAAGTAGAATCTAAATTTCCTTGTGTGACATCTGAGTTCTTTGCAATCCAGCTGGATCTTACCAATTCCAAGGGATCACTCTACACCTTTCACAGATGACTCTTCAAGGGATCCAGCTTCAACTGTCCCCTGTCCCCATATCGTCCTGCATCTACACCTCTGCCCAGCCTTCCATTTCTCCTAGAAAGTTCTGGCTTCCAGCCTAACAGCCAAATCCATGCACATTTCCTCTTCTGTCCCTCCACTTTTCAAACCCTGGCCATCTTTTCAGACCCAGCTTATTTCTTCTTAAGCAGATTCTCTCCGTATTGCTAGCATAAAAATGTCATGTTTTGAATCCTTAGAATTTTGTACGTGATGTTGTCATATCATTTTCTTATAATTCCTGCATGCTAAACTATCACACAAATAGAAGTAGAATTTGCTGGAGAGCAACAGCTAATTTTGGTACTCGTTTTCTCTCCCCCATGGGAGTTTATGGTATGGTCTTAGTAGCAGGTGCTCAGTCTTGAATAGTAGTCCCAACAGCCTTCATTTCTATAGCACTTCCCATGTGTTAGATACTATGCCAAGTGCTTCACAGGCATAATCTCACTTAATCCTCCAGACTGCCCCTTGAACAGGAATGGCTGTACCCCCATTTAATAGATGAGAAAGCCAAGATTAAGAGAAAGTTAAGGTTGAGTAGCTAGTGAATGGTGGGTCAGAGATTTGGACCCATGACTTTCTGATTTCAGAGCCTGTGTTCTTCAATGCTAATGTAGCAGCCCGTACAGCCTATGGCTAGGCGGAGCGAGAGTTATAAGATATACCTGTAATGGAACACTTTGGTGTTGGTGAAAAGGGCATGGAGAGAGATTTGGTTCTAACAAGCATGAGAGAGCTCGCGAGATGGGAGCATTGGTGAATTGGCAGTCTCTACACCTGTGGTGGTGAGAGGCACGAGCTCAGCCTTATATTAGGCTGCTGGAGAAGGCAGACAGGAGGCATGCGCATTCTATCACGGATCCCCTTACTCTGACTCTGTCTCCTCTCCTGCCTGCAGAACGCCAGCATGGCATCTCTGCTGAAGATTACCAAGCTCTGCTAAGGACTAAGATCTATCTGTTCTAAGAAGACTGCTTTACTCTCTCTAAGATACTCTGTCTCTCTTTCTCTCTGGCTAATAGTAGATAACTCTCTAAGCGCCTAAGAGAAACTGTTCGTGAGCAAGGTAGCTTAGTGGTCCGCATCCAGAACCTACCTAAGCTGGGCCTGTAGACCTGGCCAGTCCCAGGCCCTGACAAGGGGTGTCAGAAGCGGGATAGTGAATGCCACTGACAAATGGTGCTTTGAGCAGGATTTAGTAAATGTGGACGGAAAGGGAAATAAGCTTTAGCAAAATAAGAAAAAAAGAAGAGAAATAGAAATATTTAGAAGGAAAAGAAATACCTAAGAAAGACAGCCAACAGCAGGCCTTTCTCATTTGCTATTTTCCTCCTCTTTCCTATATATTCTCTTTCCAAATTCTAACTACTACTGTGGGGAAAAAAGCCAGTAAAATCCTTTAGCCTCTTCTGTGAAGCGGCTGGAGAAAAACAGAAAAAAGCCTCTAAGAGGGAAAGAGAAAAGACAGAAATAGAAGATAAGAACTTTTCATAAACAAGCCTGTAGCCTCAGATGAGAAAAACCTTCCCTAAAATAGCGAAGAGAAAAGTTTGGGACTAGGTTGCAAGCGTTTATTAAGTTAGGGAAGAGAACTTCTAACTGCCTTCCCCTAATACCTTCGCCCAATGCCAGCAGGAAGCAGTCTTTGAGAGACCGACGCCCCGATTCCCTTTTTGGCAGTTAAGAGTTCTATTTAAAAGAAAAGAATTGAGTAGATTGAAGCTGGTGAAGAAATAGTGGAAGTAAAATTTTGTAAAACAAGACTCCAGAGTAAAAAACAGCTAAAGAGCTCCTGTCTCTTTAAGGCAGCCAAAGGTTCTAAGAATGGAAAGGGAAAGATTGTAAAAAGTAAAAGGCCAAAATAAAACCAGTAGAGAAAAATCATGGCAAATGAGATACGGTAGTTGAAATACAGTTGAGATCAGATGAATCTTATAGTAGAAGCAGGTAAATGCTATATTGACAACTCAAATTGGGCAGCTGCAAGATCAGAGGGTAAATCCCCCAGTTAACATCAAATGCCATAAATGTGGGAAGCTAGGCCATAAGAGAAAAGTGTTTAAAAGGGGAGAGAACATTGAATGCTAAAAAAAAGGAACAAAGAGCATGTAAACCTCCAGGTGTATGTCCCAAGTGTAAAAAAAGGCTTTCATTGGGCAAATAAATGCCGTTATCAATTTGATAGAGATGGGACACCTTTATTGTAGGGAAATTATCAGTTGGGCCAGAATCAGGACCCACTGGCAAATGAAAGAAAAAACAGTTTAATATTTTCCTTTCAAACCATTCTCAGAAAAAACAGTATAATTCAATTCTATGCCATGGGAGCGCTCTGCCAGCTTGGTTAGACCTGTGGTGCCTCAGAGTAAAACTGGGGAAATTAAACCAGGCCAATTGGAGAATAATTAGATTAAATATGTTTGTGGAATATTAGGTTATCCTGAGTGGTGAAGGGGTAACCGACCTCTCATCGGTGTCTGTGCACTATAACCGGGTCCAGCTAAGGAGACTGGACACGGCCCAAAGGGGAAGTGTCACTCAGAAGCAAGTGAAGCCTTTGGAAGATTATGAGAGGTGAGAACAAACGGAAGAGTACAAGTTAAACCACCTCTGTGCTAGGAAACTCCATTTGAAAAAAAGGAGTCTGGAATCAATTAGCAAAAATTTCGCTGGAAAAGCAGCTTGAAAGCAGGAAAAACTCTACTATCAAGGAATTGTGAAGGGTGGTACTTTTTGGACCACGAGTAACAGTTCCACGAGAGGAACTGCCAAGTGTGAACCATTAATCCACGAGTAACAGTCTTTTGTGATCTGTGAAGTGTGGATTTCAGTACCTCGAGTAGCAAAACCTTTGGAATAGCGAGAGAAAAATCCTTGCTTGCAAAGATTGCAAGGAAAGCGTTATTTTTTGTTCCTCCGTTAAGTAAATATCAAAGGAAAGTTCCTACAGTTAAAGAAATGATAAATTCTATCAGGAAAGATTTCGCAGTTTTCTCCGTTTAAAAAAACCTTTAAGGGAATTAACATCACAATCATTTTCCCCTAGCAGCGGCTAATAGTTTACATTTGTGTTGGGCTTCCTCATTTAAAGAGCCCATACCTGGAATTCTGAACTCTGATAATTACCATCTTTTGCCTGGAAAGAAAAGGGCTAGATAACAGGCAGAACTGCCCTTACCACATTAAAGTTATTTTGTTTGTATATAAAAAAGGGGGGAAATGTAGCAGCCCGTATAGCCTATGGCTAAGAGGAGTGAGAGTTATAAGAAATACCTGTAATGGAACACCTTGGTGAAAAGGGCATGGAGAGAGATTTGGTTCTAACAAGCATGAGTGAGCTCGCGAGATGAGAGCAGTGGTGACTTGGCAGTGTCTACACCTGTGGTGCTGAGAGGCAAGAGCTCAGCCTTATATTAGGCTGGAGGGGAGCATGCGCATTCTATCAGGGATCCGCTTACTCTGACTCTGTCCCCTCTCCTGCCTGCAGAACGCCAGCAGGGCATCTCTGCTGAAGATTACCAAGCTCTGCTAAAGACTAAGAGCTATCTGTTCTAAGGAGACTGCTTTACTCTAAGATACTCTGTCTCTCTTTCTCTCTGGCTAATAGTAGACAGCCCTCAAGCGCCTAAGAGAAACTGTTCGTGAGCAAGGTAGCTTAGTGGTCTGCGTCCAGAACCTACCTAAGCTGGGCCCGTAGACCTGGCCAGTCCCAGGCCCTGACAGCTAAAATCATATTTCATGATTAGATGGGTTTAGTGTTTTGACAGATGCTAGTTTGTTAGAAATCAAGTTCAGTTAATGCTAATATAGGTAATAGAATAAACATAAGAAAGAATCATCAACTTAAAAACCCCTGAGGCACAAGAAAGATACTTAAGTCTAGATAGTTTCTTTTGCAGGCATAAGAAGAAACCTACAAAAGGTAATTTATTATCTCTGAGAAGTCTTAGACCACCTACGTTTTGCCAGAGTGCAAGTACTTTTACCTTAAACTCAGTAAACTCTTTGTAGCCCAGTAAACAGTGAAAAGGAGCCAAATAGGAAGACTTCAAGCTGTTAAATGGGCATCTGAGAGGGTTGTAGCAACTTGCCACCCTCCGAAAGAGGGTTGGTGGCAGTCTCTGCCCTCCTTAGTCCCCGTTATTTAAGGGCCTGGGACTTCCCATGGTGGAGGCACACTTAGTACATATGATCGAGACTTGCTTGCTTACTGAGTGATCACTGAGTTACAGTTCTTTCTTTCTTCTGCTAGGGTGGTCCAGTCTCTCTGGGTTATGTCTTCAGTTTCTCCATTTCCTGCACTGTTTTGTGACAGAACTGGCACCCACCCTTTTGTATATACTCTTCCCTACATACTGTATACCATGATTAGAGTACATTGGCTATGTCAGGACTTGGCTAGAGACCATGATCTTGGTTAGCTCTCTGTGGCAATCATAGGTTAAGGTAATTATGTGGCGGGAATGATCCAGAGCCCTAATGCTGCCACCCACCCAGCTTTAACTATCACCTACTCCCAGCCTTCTGTTATAGCTCTAAGGTAGCCCCACAGTCCTAAGACCTGCCCTTTGGGTATTGCAGGCTAGCCTTTCTGGTCCGATGTGAGCACCAGACCCTATTCTTGGCCTGGCCAAGTCTGCCTTCTTTCTCTTCTTTGGTAGCCCAAGTTAGAAAAATCCCATTATGCCTGAGCCCAACTGAGTTAGGGCACCTTTGGATAATACTCACAGGAATTTTATAGTCTGAGTAATTTGAAATCAGGTCCTGAATAAAAGGATGCTTCAAGAGAACAGCAACTTCAATTGGCTCCAGGTTCTTAGCACCCAGGTCCTCAAATGTTTTTATGAAGCTCTTTAAAGAAGAAAAAAAAATGAAGTTAATCAACTTTACAGTCATGCAGATGTCACAGAAATAGTTTTTCTTACCAAAGGAATTCAGTGTAATTTCTATGCTATGACACATTTTGAGAGCGGCTCCAAGAAAACACATTCAAAATTGAGAGCAACTTTTCTGATGTAGTAGGTGTCTCTTTTACAAAGTAATCGGACCAACCTCTGCATAAATGTTCTCCGTCCTGAGGTGGCTGGCAAATCTGTCAGCGTCCTGGGCTTCACTTCCTCCTCTGAACACTTTTAGTAGCGTGTCCAGGGAAATCTTTTCACTGTTTGCATTTTCAGGGATTTCTTCTTCCTTTTGCTCCCTGTCCTCTCTTTCCTCTTTTAATTCTCTTTCCTCTCTTGCAACATTTTCATCAAGTTCAGGAAACTCTTCAATTGGACTCATATCAGTAGAGGAGGAGGTCTGTAAAATTGCATGAAGAGAACATGAGATCAGCCTAAAGCCTTTACAGTAATAGAGACATTTCGAATACATCAATTCGATGATCTTACACTTTCCACACAACAAAATAATAGTGCCCGTCACAAACTAGGTAAAAAAAGTTTAGGAAAGAATATGCCAGCTTCTCTGGAAAGCAGTGTCCAAATCCTAGCCTGACTTTGCTTGTAGTGCACAGAGGCTTGTGGTGTACAGTGTGGGGTGTGTCGTCCTCATCTCCACATCCCCTTGGGCTTACTACATGCCAAACTCATCACTTTTCTCAATAATGAATTAGAGTAACTGGTGTAGGACTTCTACACGGGCATATAGATCTTTTTAACATGATTTGCTTTTGAAATGAATTGCAGTTGGGAGGTTAAATAGCAAGTTAATTTCTCAAGCTTACAGATTTGAAAAGCTTTAGGAACTTGTCTTTGGATACTGGAGGATATCCCGATTAAACACTCAGAAGGCAAAATTAAAACAAACTGGATATACGGGCAGTGCCTGTGGCTCAAAAGGGTAGGGTGCTGGCCCCATATGCCAGAGGTGGCGGGTTCAAACCCAGCCCCCGGCCCAAAACTGAAAAATAAATAAATAAAATCAATAAAAACAAACTGAATAGAGAAAACCAGGCTGGGATTCTTATTGTTGCTCTTTGAAACTTGGCTAACAGCTATGAATTGAGGTGCTTGCAGTCTGAGTAAATGGCACAGAGTAAATTGCCTCTGCAGACATTTTGTAGGCATCAAAAACCTAAAAAATATTCCTACCCTTTGACCCAGTAATTATAGATCTAGGAATTGATCCTGAAGAAACATTCATGTGCCAAATTTTTCTGCATGTGAATATTCATTTAGTGTTATAGCAAAAATTAAAAAACTAGGACTCTAAAACTAGGGGAATGTGGACATAAATTATAATTCTGGTATGGAATGCTATACTGCTGTAAAAATCACGATTAGGAAAATAATACTAATAACATGAGAAAATACTGATAGTAGAATAAGTGCAAAAAGAAAACAGAAAATAAAGTAATAAAGATAATAGAATCCTTTTTGTCTTATGTATCTAATACTTATTAATGAAAATCAGGGAAACCTACCTTAAAGTGAGTGAACAGTGGGGATCTCTGGTAGTGGAACCGATGGCTTCCTTTTCCTTTTATTTTGCACTTTGTATACTTGCTACAGTAAGTTTATGTGTGTGTGTGTTTCTGAAAATGATGTAATCGATATTTGATGATTTGCCATAGGAAAATGGGCATTTTGGAGGGTTGGCTGGCCAGGTATCAGGGAACACTTGAGCTCTGATTCTCCTTTATCCCAAGGAACAAAACAATGCTAATTTAGGGGGATGCCAATGCTGTAAATACTCAATTTAGTAAAAGTAGTAAGCCCATAGATTGTGATGTTTCTCCCAAATAATCACCTAAGTCCCATGTACAAAAGAATTATGATAGGACATAATTAAGCCTCTGGTAGTCACATGTTCTTCTCAGGGATTCTGGAGGGACTGGGGGTGGTGTAACGAAGACAGGCTGCATTGGCTTGAGCTCTGCGTGGTCACCTTGCTTTACCTGGGTTTCGATAGTCTTTACTAAATTGGGAGCTTAACATTTAAAAAAGAAATTAGGAAAAGACAGCAAGAATGCTGTCACAGGTAAAGATTTTGGAATTTAGTATAAAACACACACCCACTTACCCACCCATCCACACACATATATTTTTCAGTCTATTCTCTGCTTTAAACAATTGGAAATTCTACGTTGCAGAAATGTGAAACTGGTTTTTGTGTTACCACCTTAGAATCTTAGGGATTATTGCCTTATCTACCAATCAATAAGAAATCAAGGCAACAGAACATATAGGATAGTGAAGCGAACATAATTGGGATGAAAACATCTTAATGAATGAAGGAACAATAAAAATCTATTCAGAGTGTAGGTTAGATGCTATATGGACAAGATAGATCGAACCTGTGGGCAAGAAAATGACTAACTTGTTAGATCATGAGGTGGTACCAAAATTTAACTAAAAAGAACGTGGCCTCTCTGTAACTATTTCCATAATTAGAGCAGTTATTTTCAAAGGACTGATGTAAGCATAATGGGATAAATAATTTATTTTTGTTTAAGGGTAGCAATTTAAACATTTTGAATGAATGCTAGCGTGAAGGATCCTTGGCATACTAATGTCACAGGATGCTTTTAAAACTTTTGCTATTTTTGCTCTGCAGGGGATAGGGACAGAATAAGCTTAGTGGCTCAGTAGGAGGAGAGGGAAGGGAGAGTGGCCATGACTGGATCAAAGAAGCTGGTTCAGCATCGTGGGAGGATGGAAGCGTGTGCAAGAGAATGTAATTTTTTCCCACAGAGACTCTGAAAGACAGCGATTTTGAATGTAGGTACAGGAACAAAACTGGTGATGCCAGTTTGGAGAATAGCCAGTGCTTTTGAATGAGCAATTATCAATGGTGTCTGAGCACCATGTAAGGCACATTTTCATCTAAGCAGGGGACCAGATTGTGGTTCTGTCAAGTACTATGTCCCACTTGGCTAACTCTCACAGATAGCCCTCAAGGAGGACTTCAACAAGTGTGTCCCCATGGCAGCACCCGTGCCTTTTCCTGGCCATGCATTTCTGCCATTCAGTTGGCTCAGACAGACCTATATCGCAGAGGCAGAACAGAGGCCACTTCTTGGGACCAATGTAAGCAAAGCATCAAAGAGGAGAATGGAACAGAAGTGTGTTTTAGACCCCAGGGCCTCAAACATGCCTGCCAAGATGCTTTTACAGGACTTTTAGAATGCAGGCGATCCAAGCTCAGAATTTACAAAATTTCAACATCACAACCCCATGCCACACAGGTGCCAAGAATCAACCATTTTCCCAAATGTCACTTAAAGATGGACCAGTACTAGTGCATTACTGATGAATGCCTTGATCTTGGGATTCTTTTAAATTACTCAACTATCTATGGATTTAAACAGAAGCTCTGAGCCACACTGAACACAATTAGCACGAATCGTGGAAACAGAGTAAGGGAGAATGAAATGTCGGGGAGATTTCCAGTTGTTTAAGCAAAAGCAGAGATGTGACTGCATATCTTGGGAGGGAACATGGATTTGTTGGAGGTGTTATTTCTGTGCAGGCTTAGAGGTTGCCCGGGAAACTGGAACACACTTGGAAAGGGCATAGCAGGGCCATAATTGGAGACAGGATGGTGAGGACAAGGGGTGAGAATGAGGGAGGTGAGCCCCTCTTCCATTTCAAAAGCCTCTAGTGTACGTTTGGTATAGAGAAATGAATGAAGCTGGGATGAGGACATCTTGCTGAGTGGAGCAGGCCTGTGTGTGAGATGGCCCTGTGCTCCTTCCCTGGCCTCACCCTCCATCCATCAGGGAGGTCTCTGTTGTGCATCATTCTTGGTTCAGTTCCTGCAGTGTCCTTGGATTTTAAAAGCACTCTTGAGAGCAGTGCTCAAGGCAAGGCGAGCTACTTTCCGGGGGTGGGGGGTGGAGGGGTAGCACTAGCATATGGTGAACAGAGGGCTCAGGGACCCAAGGGAAGCTGCTGCCTGGCTGACAGACACTGAGGCAGGGGGCCGTTGCTATGGCAACCGCTCTCTTTGCCTGGTCTCTCCTGCTCCTTGCAGCCTCTGGGAGCCTGCTGCTGCTTGCCCCTGCCTGAGGTGTCTGCTTTCCTCCCCTCTACCGGGACACTGAACCCTACTCCTGTCACTCTCCCTTCTCCCCTCCTCCCTGCTTCCTGGCCATGTCCACAAACATTAATTGAGCCCTTGCTATGTGGCAGCTGAGATGGGTAAGAAGGCGGTCCAAACGCAAGGTAGGCATCATTTAGCAGTAGGATTCAACAGCTAACGGATCCCTGCCGGAATGACTGGGTCTCCTCCTTCCTCCTTTTGTCCCCTGTGGCCTGTTCTCAGCACAGCAGCCATGCAGGTCCCCACACATTTAAGCCAGGGGAGTACTGGCTTGTACTCTTCCAGCCACTTCTCCTCTTGTGCAGAGTTAAAGCTCAGGTTACCACAGAGCCCCCCTGAGACCTCCCGGCACTCACTTCCCTCCCTTTCTGCCATGCTCCGGCTCAGTACCCTGGCTGGCTCTGGTCTGGGGGTGCATGCAGCAGGCACTTTTGTGCTGATCACTGTTGTGCTCGCTGCAAATGCTCGTGCCCCAGAGATCTGCTCTCTCCCTTACCTTCTCTCTCCCAGCCTCTCCCTCTTCACAAAGAAACCGGCCCTGGCTACCCTGTTAAACATTTTAACCACCACCTCCACTCTTGGCCTTTCCCCTGCATTCGTCTGTCTTTCCACGGCATTTGTCTGGGTTTTGCTCATTTGTTGCCTATCTTCACCTGGCTGGAATGCTTTTTGTCCACTTCTGGCCTCTCAAGTCAAGAGTGGTCCCCAGCACAGAAGTTTGTGGGAACAATGCAGGTGAGGGTGCTCTGCCCAGTCGGAGAAGCTCTGAATAGACTTGGGGCCCAGCGGAGGGAAGGCTCAGCGTCGTCAGGGGAGCTCCGGGGAGCTCCGGGGAGCTCTGGGGCTGATCTGGCAGTTGCTGTGGGGCCTTTGAGAGGAGGGAAGAGCAAGAGGAAAGGCAGGGAGGTGGGAAAGAAGGCAACGTGAGCGCTGTCTGGTTCCCCAGGCCCCGTTTAATCTCTTTTCTTCCATGTCCTCTCCCTGTTTGGAACGTCATTTCTTTTGTTATTTTCTGCATGGATGGGGCAGTTAGGCAGAGGCCCTTCAGGAGATAAAATTTGCCTTTTTCTGTCTCCTTCAGAGATCACAGAACTATGCAAGGAGCATAGTTTACAAAGCTAATATCTGAACAGTCTCCTCAGAGCAATGTTTACTCAGCTCTGGGGCAGGCCTGACATAAGTTCAGGGATACACAACAAGGCAGATGCCTCCTCTCCTCCTACCTCCCTTCCTTAGGGTTCCCAGAGGAAGTGACTTTGGGGAAGTCATTGTTGTGTAAAGAATATCATGTAGGGAAGCACAGGGCACCACGGGGAACAGAAAGCAGGGTGTCCGGCATCATTGAAGGCTCAGGAAAGTGTCCTGGTGGACACAGGTTTGATAAGACCTGATGGCGAGCTAGGATCCAGGCCTAGGTCATATATCAGAGTTAGGTCAAGGAGCCCCAATCTCAGGGAGCTACAGAGACATCCCTGGGAAAGTGGCAAGTGCAGTTTCTATGATTGTAGGCCATACCTGACTCCTTACTTATCTGGGAAATTTTTAACTCTCCTGCTGTCAAAGATAGCATTCTTAAATGGAAATAGATGCTGCTGTATAAATGTTGAACCAGTATCTATAGCCCACCGCTGTGAAGAGCCCCAGGTTGTTACCTGACTGGGCATCTCTGGCCTCTCTCTGACCTTGGTGGAAGAGGAAGGAGATCCTCCCGTCCATGTGTTCCTGGCCAAACTTTAGGACTGTCTGAGAGAGCCTATGTTGTCTCTCTCCAGATGCTGCCATGAGAAGCTCTCACACCTTTCAGATGATTTCTATTTTGTCAAATGTGTGAAGAGACTGATGTGTGTTTGGGATTTCCAAGGGGTCTAGACAGAGCAGCATGCCTCTCCCCTCTGTGCCCTCAAAGGGAGAACAGAGACAAGCCTTCCATCAGGGGGCAGGCCACAGCTCTACTCCCCATAGGACAGGATCAAAAGCCATGCAAAGGCCATGCAAAGGGGACCTCAGAGTAATTAGCCAGCACCCTGCAGAGACTAACCCCTAACAGCCAGGGAATGCCAACCCTTCAGAAAGCTCACAGGGACTAGGAGGCAGCATCTTAACTACACAATGAAATTCTTTGTCCTTGGGTGCAGGTAATAAAAATTGCTTGTGGATTTCAGATGGCTGAGCTTTGGTTTGAAACACCATCAAGAGTCGCATGTACACGGATGCATCCAAAGCCTAAACTTGTTTACATGAAATTTCCACACAGAATGATCAATAGACTGGGTTGACATTGCCTCTGTTTCATGTATCAGGATCAGTACTTCGGGAAAGATAAAGGCTGCCCTTTATAGAGCAAATTTTGATTCTACCAAAAAACCTGGAACAACTTTTGACTTTACCACAAAAGTGTTCAAAGGGAATGAGTCCTCCAGTTCTGATTAATAGTCCAATTCTGTAAGGCTTTGTTGAAGACCTAGTGTGTGTAAATCACTGTTTCAGCCACCTGAGGTGGCTGAGATGAAAAGAAGAGCCCCTCTTTCCAAGAATTTAGGATCTTTAGGTATCCCCCTTCAGACTCCCCAGTTAGTCCCTTTCTGGAATGCGTTACCTTTTCAGCGATCAGAATATGAGTTTCATCTTCTTGGAAGACGTGCGTCCCGATGGCCACGCTGAGGGCCCTGTAGACCCCTTCCACACTGTCTGGGTGGCAGGCAAAATAAAGCAGCATCTGTGTGTAGTCAAGCTGGGGTGGATCTTTCTCATAGTCAGCAAATAGCCTGAGGAAAAACTGTCACAGAAAAAGGATTTCAACCAAAGATAAAATGGGTATGCTCTGGTAGTCAGTAGGTAGACGTGGCAATGAAGATCCCTCTGGGAGTTTGGAATAAGGTGATCTTCTGAGGATGGAATTAGTAAAGCTACCCTGTAATGAGTGATATTAACAGAACAGGATGCAGAAAATGTAGGGTTCTAAATTCTAATGTAACATAAATTGTACTAAACAAGGCATTAACATATTCAGGAAATAACATAGCAATTAAAAGTAGAGGAACTGTGCAATGAGTAGAAGGGAGCCACAAGAGCAAGGACCCATGTGTGTCCCTTACATTATCCAGACAAACTGAGTCTTGACCCTAAATATGAGACTTCTGATCCATTCATCTCTGTGGGGAGTGAAAGGAGGGAAAGGGAGTCCCCCAAGTCCCTGGGATTTTAGCCATTAAAACATCTGAACTCATTCACTGGCTCTGAACTTCCTACCCTATCTACTGACTATGAGTGACTTCTTCCAGTGTGGATTCCCATGAGGGGAGAGAGTGTGCTAACTGCCAACTATGAGTTTGTGTGGCAGTTCCCTCGGCAGCTCGAAGAGTGGCTGCTTGGGAGCCTGATATCCTCGAGGCCCTGCAAAGCCCAGGCCCAGACCTGGGGGCACACTGGCCACACTGAAGCACCTACATAGCCTCATTTGAGGACCCAGTTTTCCAGACCAGCCATTCTCAAATGTGTACTGGATGATCTGCAGAATATGTTTTAAATGTAGATTCTGCTTCAGTAGATGGTTCCAGAGCTATCTTGGGCTCTGCATGTCTAGTAAGCTCAGGTGCTTCTGATGTTGCTGATTTTGGCCTACACTTTGAGAAGTGACTATCTAGATCCAGACGGTATTTCTACCTTGTTATTCTTTGTTACCAGGAACCTTTACAACTGTGAGCAAATTAGGCATACATGAAGATAATAGTTGGAAAAATTTCTGATATTTGACAAATCCAATCAAAATTTAAATAAAAATAACTTTGACTGGAAAATGTACAAAGTCTGTTATGCTATAAAGCAGAAAAGAATCTTAGGGGTCAGTGGGATCTATACGTTCTTTCATTCAGCCACTCCTGCACCAAACATTTACTGAGTGTCTTTCTGTAAGCCAGGCAGAACCAGGCTCAGACATTCAAGAATGGTCACTGACAATAAGGTACCCCTTGATTTCTTAAAAGTCATGATCTAGCTGGTGGGTTCCTTTAGGCCATTGCACTTCCATCTTTTCATCTGCCTTTGAGTGATTTCAGGGACTGCCAGTAAGACGAGAAGGGGTCTGGCTACTCAACAGCCATGGCCTTGTCCGTGTGTGCTTAGTTTGCATTTCTTCCACACGAAGAGATGTCTTTTAGTTTTATTTCCACTGAGCTGCTCTTATCAAGGATAAGTAGGTGGAAAACATCATTTTTTCCATTAATATATAAACTGAAGAGTATTGAAAGAAGATATACAGGAATAATACAAGTTGATTCTTTCTGTAATTAAATAGACTTGATATTAAATCAATGGATTGGACATTCAAAAAAGGTTATGCTTGTTGTATTCTGAAGACCATTTAAAATTTTATAGGATGTAGAATTTCAAGAAGGCCTCAAAGGTTTTCACCTCCTGGTACATATACCTTGTACAATCTACTCCCGTTAAGCATAGGCAGGACTTGCAAATATGATAGGAAACTCATTCCCATGAGTGGGTTCCCTCATATGTCAAAGATAAAGGGATCTTCTAATGTAATCAAGGTCCTTAATCAGTTGAATTTAGAGCCTGGGTTTGGGCCTGACCTAATCAAGTCTGCATCCTGGTAGTGGCCCCTGGCCAATCCCTGGGCTGCAGACTGGTACCGGTCCATGGCCTGTTAGGAACTGGGCTGCACATCATTATCACCTGAGCTCTGTCACCTGTTCCACCCCCAAACCCCATCCGCCATGGTAAAATTGTCTTCCATGAAATTGGTCTCTGGTGCCAAAAAGTTGAGGATCACAGTGCTAGAGGATTCAAGTGCAGATGTCAAATAGGTAGTTGCATCTAGGAGTCCTAAGTTCAAAAGAAAGGTCTGCAGTGGAGACAGACATTTGGGACTTATTAGCAAGTAGCTGGCATTTCAAACCCAAAGCCTGGCTTTAACAAATGTTAACCAGCCCGAGGGAATGGAAAGATGTATGTGTCCCTTGGACAGAAGCTGTGGAGAAAAGTTTAAGACAATGCTTGCGAGTTTATTTAATAAATATGACAATATTACATCACTTTTCTTAGGAAAACCCTAAGGATTCTTGAACACTGGTTTCTGCAGTTTCAAGGGGTGGAGAAGACAGGCCCAGCCTGCTGAGCCTCACTGGTCACCAGTAAGTTCACTGTCACTGTCAACAGACCAGGGGGTCACAACCCGAGATGCCTCCGGGATCCTATTGTGAGTGAGGCTGGACATTTTATCCAATGCTTGGGTCTCTGAGGTCACCCAAGGTCAGTATCAATTGCTTGTCTTCAGGAGCCTTTCAGGATATGGCTCAGAGGAAGGCCTGGGCCACAGAGCATACGTGACAAAGCAGGGGAGCTGAGTGCTGCCCTAAATTGCAGCCCCAGCCCTCTCTTTAAGGGGACACAGAGGCCCTGGGAGAGGAAGAGTCCTGTCCAAGTTTCCACAACAGATCATGGTAGAACTGGGAGCAAAGCCCAGGGCTCTTGGCCCCAAGAATTCCTTCTTAATTCTTTGGTCTTTTTTATTCTAATTACAGTTAAAAAAAGTAAACACCTTTTGTTTATGTTTTCTCCTTGCTCACCTTTCTTTAGCATGCCAGCCTTAACCACAGTTTATTGTATACCCTTCACTGTTCTAAGGGAACCACGAATACAAATTCACTCTGCAAACAGCCCCAGCAGAGAGGGATACAAGTTCCAAGGCACAGGGAGGTTGTGTCATGCCACGGAGACCTTGCAGTTTATAAACAGTGGCACGTGTGTTTTTATCCCAGTTTAAGAACATTGAGATTTACTTAACGCTGAGTACTGCGTCCCTGAGGCACCAGGAAGGAGATAAAAAAACACCCCTTCTTTCACCTTTTTTGTCCCATGGACGTTCACACACACACAGACACAGACACACGCACACACCCTAGCAGTCATCTTTTGCCCTTTAAGAACAATTTTTGCTCAGGCTCCCGCCCTGCCTCTGCTCTCAGCTTAGTTCCTTTCCTTGCTGTAATTTCCCAGCAGCGAGTGGGAGCCACATTTGTCCCTTTTACCAAAAGGTTCTTTCCTGTTTTGCTGCCAGGTGAATAGCTGAAAGGCTGTGCCCTAGATTGATGTTTCTAAAAACTTCTGGCTGAAAATGAAAGTACTTTCCACTTGGCGGATAGCCCACACTGCCAGTTGCTTCTACAGGTTCCTGAAGAACCTGTTTATATCAATGAAGATTTGTTCACAAAACCATATAGAGTCTGTTCCAAAAGCTTCACAAGGTAATTGATCTCAGTCCTCGGGCCTCACATTAAAAACAGTGACAACAAACACAGCGCTGCCCCTGTAACTGCTGACCTCCTGTCTTGGGCTTTTTAGATTATTCTCTGACCCCTTTCTCTTACCTTCTCTCCTGCTAGTGCCTAGCTGAGGTGTTTAAAAAAATATGCATCCAATTGAAAGAAAATGCTCAATTTAAGGTTAAAAGTAGAGTCATGTTCAATATCGTACTGCAATTTTGAACTAATGGTTGGCTGGAAATTGAACAATCAATATATTCTACAGAGTTGGCTATGATATCTAAATTTATCATTCACTTTTCCTCATATCTTAATGAATGTGGCTGTGTTAGGTCTGGTTTATATTTTAAACATTTATACTAAAGTCAGAGTGTTTTTCAGATTTTAAGGTCCTGCTTTCTATTGTGGCCTCAGGGATAAAAGCTAAAAAATGCTATTAAATAACAATATTGAAAGCAGCACTCTCTGATGAGCCAAGGACAATGCTATATTTAGACCCTTGCCATATTAGTCAAAATCGAAGAGAAATAGTCAAAAAATATATATTGGTAAAATGACAGAATCATATCCTAAGCTTCTAGAATTGGAAGGACATTTAGAAATAAATGTGTTGAGAAAAGCAAATTCCAAGAGACCTTGGGAATTGTCCAAGATCACACAGAGAGGTAATGGTAGGGCTCTGGCAAGATTTCAGCCCCTGTCTCCTCTCCAGGCTTCTCTCCTCCGTCTCCTTAGTGAACATTTAAGTCTGCATTTTAAGGCACCGGAAAGGAAGCGACAGGCAGGGATGAAGTCCAAAGCAAATTATGTAAGTAGAAGAAAAAACAAAGAAAACAGCCAGTGCCATGTGCTATTTTTTTTTATAATGCTATTTTTAAAGACCTCATTCATTACCTCTATAAGGTGTTCCTGCCTATTAAACGCCAAGGGTTCAAGAGGATTTTCTGGAACTTTTATATCTTCATCTCCCGTAAACCAAAGGCCAGCCTACAGCAAGAAATAAAAGTGAAGATCATTAAAGTTTGCATTATGCAGAGATGTCATCGTTCCTCTAAAAACAACAGACACTGAACCACTCTTGGTCCAGTTTCTGCAGTAGTGGTCTCTGAGGCAGGGTGCAGAAACCAAGGCAGGGTGATTAGAGAAATATGCTAGAACTTCCATTTACGTTACTCTTTGTCTCATCTTTTTGTAATTTTTATTCTTGCATGTTTGATATGTTTCTAATGTATTAGTGTTATAGGACAGTATATAATCTGTAAATAAAAGTCCACATAGTCGAGGCACCAGCTTTATTTTAACTATTGGAGCATGTAATGAAGCTTGGAGGTCATTACTCTAGATTAAGCTTGCATTAGCAATATTCTGGAGGAGTCTGTACTCTCATAACAATAATTCTCATTCCTTGTGTCCTGTTGATTTCCCATCCATTCTGGGAGTCTTAGTGTTGAGATTTGTTGTTGGTGTTAGAAAAATCTTTGCTGAGTAACTGAATGACTGGCCCCTTTTTCACGACATCCTCTTTCTCAGTCCCTTTCTGACACAAATTACTCTTTGGACTTGGCAGCTCTCATCTGGCAATGCCTCTCTACTTCTCCTTTCCTTCTAAACTCATTGCTACCACCTGGGTGGTAGAGTCTCACTACCTTTGTCAAAGACCGTTCTAGTAACCTCAAGCTGTTTCTGTTTTCAGTCTTTCTCTTACCCAAGTAGAAGAAAACACAAATTATCAATTTTCTCATAATTTTAATGTTTCCATATATCATTCTCTGCTCAGAACCATTTTCTACTCTCACTTGTTTGATCACATCATTCCTTCTACTTTAGGTGAGTTCTATGCTCTTTTCCACCCAGATAAACCTATACATTTTTCCAGACCTGGCTCAGATCACACCTCCCAGGGAGGCCATCCTGAATCTCTCCTCTGAACTCCAATTCTATTTGTTTATACCAAACATTTGGCATTTAGTCAACTCCTTTGGTTGTTGTCAGTCACGTTTCCTGTTAAACATCAGGCACAAAATACTTGGGTTCAAAGAATATATCTTGCTAATTTTAACTCTTCCACAGAGTAAGCTCTTCATATAAATAATTGAGAGTGTCAACCTAGCCTTAATACTTGGCCTATTGCCAAGGCCATTGGTTTGCCTAACTTGACTCTGGCCTATGTTCTCGGTTATACCTTCTTCTAATAATCTCATGTTCTTTGAGTAAAGGCTTAAATGGAATTGTACGTTGTAAGGGTGTGCATTTCCTAAAGGTGAGAATTGAGTTTTCTTTTAATTTGGAATTAAAAAGATACTGTTTATGTGGAAGCCTATGTGAGGGAGAAGAGCCGAAAGAAGCTTAATGTCCTGCAGGGTACTAGCTTGGAACACAAGTGACTCTTGCACTGCTGGGAGGAAATCTTTTCCTGATGGCTAATCCGTGGAGGGTAAGTGCCACCTAAGGGAGAATAGAGAAACCAAGAACATAGGTAGATTTTATGCTTCTGGCCATGATGGGAGTAATAAACAGCAGAATTATCCTCCTGCCTTAAACAATAAGAAATATGATAACAGGATTTTCCAGGCATTGGACCACAGGCAACATAGGACAGTCATTCCTGAAAGAGGAAAGTAAGTGAGGAGGCTTCCTAGTATTCCAGCTGCTGTAGCATTTTCAGTTTGCAGGGCCAGGAGGGGCTTCACAGTGAGCCTGGTGCTACTGCCTATTTAAGAAGGCAAGTTTTGTAGTTGAAGGAGTTCACAGTGGCCAGAGTTTGCAGGGAAGAGTACTAATGTGCACATAGATTTGTGAGAGAGCTCTGGAGATGTGCAGAGGGGTCTCCTCAAGTCTTGAATGGGAGCCATTCTGTTGATTTGTATGTAGAAAATACCAGAGGTTAGAGAAAGAGCCACTGGAAAGTAGTGAGTTGAACAATCTCTGGGATTCATGCAGATCTGGGATTAGTTCATGTTACCACCAGCCAGAGTAGAAGGACATCCTAATACACAGGACATTAAGTAGAGCCTCCTCAAAGGATACGACCTTAGTAATGGGACCATGTTAGCCTCATATGAAAGGCTGCTCTGGACCCACCTTCAAGATTCTTGACGTAACTTTGAAAATATAAAACTGATTTCGAGTAACATTGCTGTACTTGACAACATTTAAAGGGATATGACAAAATTTGGCACCCAATAATATACAGTTTACATCATCTCTTATCTAATACAAAATTACTAGGCATGTAAAAAAAAAAAAAGAAAGAAAATATGACCTATAGCCAGAGAAACAATAATACAGAATAGAGAGAGATAATAAAAGGAGCAGACCAGGATTTTAAGCAGCTATACTAAATAGATTTCATTCGTTCAGAGAGATAAAGAAAAACATGCAAAAAATGAGCAGAGAGGTGAGATGTATAACAGAGACCCAACTTAAATGTCTGGAGATAAAAAAAATAAACAGCTGAAATAAAAAATAAATTGGATGGGGGGGGCGGCACCCGTGGCTCAAAAGGGTAGGGCACCAGCCTCATATGCAGGAGGTGGCAGGTTCAAACCCAGCCCCAGCCAAAGAAAAATAAAAATAAATAAATAAAATAAATTGGATGGTATTAATGGCAAACTCAACTCCGCAGGAGAAAACATCAGTGAACTTGAAGACACATTAATAGAAATGGGTACAAAATATAGCACACAGAGAAAAAAGTCTGGAAAAATAAACAACATGGAATTGGATTTAAGAACGGGGGGTGCAGAAAAAGTATTTGAAGAAATGACCCTGAACATTTTCCCAATTCGACAAAAAGAATAAGCCCACAGATTCTAGAAGCTCAATAAACCCCAGAGGAAACATGAAGAAAACCTCACTAAGGAACACAATAACCAGGTTGCTGAAAACTAGAGATAAAGGGAAAATAGGAAAAGAACTAAAGGAGGAAGAAAAGGAACAAAGATTCTTCCCATCCCCCCGTTTCTCAACCAACTCTCAATCCTCTGTATAATCACTGCAGTACATAGGAATTTCTCCTGATTTTTAACACCAAGGATTTATTCCTATTGGTTTTCTAAAACTGTATGTCTTTTCTAAGTGTTTTGCATATAATAGACAATTAGAAAGAAAAAAACTGTTTCCTAAAATGTCAAATTCGGGCTGGGTTCAGAGGCTCACTCCACCCTGGGAGGCTGAGGCAGACAGATTGCCTGAGCAAGAGCGAGACTCCATCTCTACTAAAAATAGAGGAACTAGCTGGGTGTTGGGTGGATGCCTGTAGTCTCAGCTCCTTGGGAGGCTAAGGCAAGGGGATTGCTTGAGTCCAAGAGTGTGAGGCTGTTGTGAGCTATGATGGCACTCTACCTAGGGCACAGAAAAAAAATCAATAAATAAAATATTAAATTCAGAAACAAGTAAATAAAATAAATTTATAAGAATTCCAATAACCTGAAGTGCTAAATGTGAACCTATGTAGTAAGAAATTAAAATAAGGAAGGTTCAGCCAACTACCCCCCACCTCACTAGACTTTTTAGTGATTTCTCTCTAAAAAGATGGAAATCTTCCTGTATTCTCTTGCTAAAACATGGCCAAGGATTTGAGGTTTTTTGTTTTTTTAATTTTTCTTTAGAGAGTAAGTACTGTGCTGTTTGGATCCTAAAACATCTGACTCATTAAGCCTATAATAACAGGCATTCTCACTGCTGGAAGACAGGTCGATAGCTACTGCAGCATCAGAGGCTCCCGTGTGAGTGTGACTACACTCCCACACCAAGAAGGTTACTGGCCAGCTGGGAGCAAAGGGCAAACAGGCTTTTATGCTATCATTGCTTAGCCAAGGTACATGGCCCATCTGCTTTCACGAATGCTTTATATTTTTCCATTTTAGAAATTAGGGTAATCAGCACAGTCTTAAGTGGCTGTTGTGGTGAACTTGCAATTTGTCAAAAGAAAAAAAAAAAAAGGCAGACAAAATATAAAGCATAGGAGACAGCCCTTTTCTCCCAGAGAGCTTCATTTCGGTAATGCAGTTACGCTATTTTAAAGCTCTAATGTGGTATTTTCTATAAATCTTATAAAATTTTCCCCTCGAAGCTGTTTTGATTTTTTCCATGAAATGGTATTTTGGAGGCGGGTGGGGCGATCAGCTGGCAAGTGCTGGAAATCTGTGAAAGGCAGGCAGGGCGGTCAGGTGGGGGCTCTCCCAGTGTGTTCCACGTGCTGGGGAGTTAAGCAGGCAAGGGGAGAGGGCAGAGCTCAGAAAGAGCTGTTCCCAAAACACAGACCATGTTCAAGTAAGGGTTTCTGAGCTTCTATGAAACACTCTCCAACTTTCTCTAAGAAATTCACACCTTTGGTAAAGGTTTTGGCTCAGCACTTTGGTAAAAATTGCCACCACCTTTCTTCTTCTCATGTTTATGCAAAAGGATGTTCAAATTGATATCCTGTGTTAATTGCCACGTACAGTAAACAGTGAAGGTCAGTAATGATATGCACTCCCACTTTTTAAAATCTGAAGCCGTCTATGGAAATACAGTACATTTTGCTCTGCTAATACTATTTTCAAAAGGGCTCGGCGCCTGTGGCTCAAGTGGCTAAGGCGCCAGTCACATACACCTAACATGGCAGGTTCGAATCCAGCCTGGCCCGCCAAACAACAATGACGACTGCAACCAAAAAAATAGCTGGACGTTGTGGCGGGTGCCTGTGGTTCCAGCTACTTGGGAGTCTGAGGCAAGAGACTCGCTTGAGCCCAGGAGTTGGAGGTTGCTGTGAGCTGTGATGCCAGGGCACTCTACCCAGGGGGACAGCTTGAGGCTCTGTCTCAAAAAAAATACTGTTTTCAAATGAAACCACTTTAACAAATTGTAAATCCAGGCGGATGACAGCCTTCATAAATAGCCACACTTGGGAAGTAAATATATTAGCGCTCTATCAGCCAAACACCTGTCTTGATCAACCCTTAAAGAGCCTCATTATTATTCAAGTGTTATTTCCTGTAGCTCAACTGGGTGAATGCTCGGGGACTTGGGGGCTTTGGGGTTATCAAAAAAAAAAAAAAAACAACCAAATAGTACATGTGAGATACAGGCACCTGGAGAGAGTTATTCAAAGTTTTTGTTCCTTATGTATGTTTCCCTTTTTTGTGTCTACCAGCAAAGTCAAGTGGAGAGCAAAAGGATGAATTCCATTCGTAGGGACAAAATAAGTAATTCAGGTTTCTCTTGGTTCGTGGAGTTTTATTCTCCTTTCTTACTCAAACTTCTGAGAAATGAGTTGACTTTTCTTCTTTTCACTTCCTAAAAGACCTCTTCATTTCCTCAATTCTCTGCAACCTAGTTTCTGTACTTATAATCCCACCATTTCTCTGGCAGAAATCACCAGTTACATAGACCTGCCAAGTTCTATGGCCCAGTGTCACGTTTACTGGATTATCCATCCCTTTCCTTGGATGAACTTCTTTCATAAATTCAACAACCGCCTACATTAGTGACTTGTACTCCTTTCTGTATCTGCCATATCAGATCGGACATTTCTATCTACATTTCCACAGACATATCAAACTCAATTTGTCAAAAACAATCTCATCATTTGCCACCCCCCCCCACAAACTGCTCTTTCCCTGTGTTCTTTATTGCTGTTCTTGCCACTTCTGAGCTATTAGGCGTTGGACATTGGGCTTACTAAAAGCTCTGTAGATGATTCTAATATACAGCAATGGATAAGAACTACTGGTTAAGAACCAAGGAGAATAATTGAGTTTATGTAACTTCTTTCAGGAGCCTTAGTTCTCCTGGAAGTTCTGACTTTTTCAGATTTTTTTCCCCTGGGAATGGAAACCAGATTTCTGCCTGGGGCCCTGGCACTGCCTTGGGGGCTGCCTCTAGGTGGCTGGACATGGGCAGCAGAGATGCGAAACACTGGCCCAAGACCTGGCAATGTAACATGAGTAACACACTTCTTAGGTCGGAAGTGTTCTGATGCTACTAGGGACCCAGGTGCTGGCAACCACCTGCATATACTGCTCAAAAGTGATGGTGCCCTTCTGCTCCTCATCCACAGCCTTGAACTTCTGCAGTGTCTCCAGGAGCTCCTCCTCCAGGGGGATGGGCCAAGGCAATGAGGTTACTAACAGGAATTTCCGCCAGTCCACGAACTCCGAGTTTACTGTTAATAAAGATGTTAACTCCTGTAACTAGAAGAAAACAGGAAATATTACTGGGATATTTGTACATGTATGACTCTTTCTTTGAAACTCTGTTTACTCAGGTTTTCATAGTAAGAGGGTCAGAGGAAAGAAGCAGGATTTTATATTGGCAAACAGAGCCAGTTCTGACTTTCGTTCCCTTTTGTGGCCTTTGTTCTACCAACAAATCCACATCAGGCAATACCTAGAAAGTGGTTTGCATTTCTGCTTCCTGGACTTTTGTGGTTTTTGCTTACTCTTACACAATCAATTTATACATCTGACTCCAGTTAACTCTTCAACAGACGAGGGATAAGGATTATATCTTGTGTCCTTGCAAGGGCTCAGGTATTTAACCACTTTGTTTTCTGATACATTTTAAAGTAAAGCTCATGAGAAGAAGGAAGACCTGCCACCATCACCTACTATTACTAGCTGGAATCATTCTGTAAGGTAGTTCTGGATATGAGGTCATGGTTGAGCCTCAGTCTCTGTCATGTTTCACTGACTGTTAGATCATCAGTCATTCTTTGAATACTGTGCATGTGCTCATGTGTCTTAATTTTAAGATCATTCTTTTTTAATTCACTCAAATTTCAAAAGTTGAACACTAGGCTGATACTGGTCATTTTAGAACTATTGATTCATTGATCAAATTAGAAGAGTATTCAAATCTTTAAAACCAAAATAAAATGGAAGCTTACTTCAGGTTGGGTAAGGTGCATCCAACTACTAGGAAAGTTGTTGGTCCCAAGGTTCAAGGTCACCAAATCCAGGAGAATGTCAGTAAATGCTTTATTTCCAATCAGGCCTATAATGCAAGGAAAAATCTTTTGTCATTTATATTAGGTGACAGGGCTTTTATTTTGCTTTTGCTAAAATAGAAGAAATAATGGATATTTGTATGATCATTTCATTCTTATTTAAAATCATGAACTTCAGAGAAACAGAACCCATTTGAAGACATAAAAATAATAATACATGTCCTGCTGCTCTTTTATTATTGTTTCTCAATTGAGTCAGAATGTCTTTTTTCGGTCTAGTAATAATTCACTTCAGATTGGGAAAAATTGTTAAACTGTAATAGGAGTCTTATTTGATCTTTTACTCAGAATAGGCTGAAGCTTTAAAAATATTACTCTAAGGCTTCCTATATACAGGAGGGTACAAGAATATATTTGGTAAATATAAGATAAAGGCGTTTCAAATGCGTGCAGCTCATCAATGTAATCAGTTAACACATTTATCTTATTCTTGCCCTTTAGCTCAGAATATATTTGCTTTTGTAAATGTTGGAAGATTTGAATTGTTAAATTACTAGATTGAAGTGTTAATTCTTGCCCTTTAGATCAGAATATTCTTTGCTTTTGTATATACAGAAGGGTACAAGAAGATCACTAACCTTTTAAATGCTTTGTCCTTACATGCTAATCTACTTAACCCTGTCTAAAGGAGATGTCTACTTTCAAATTGCATGCACATGCATCAAAAAAGAAATAGGAAAGCAAAATAAATGAATATGCTTTAAAAATATCCAGCTAACCTACACAGCAGAGATACCTTCTAGAGTCAGGAGAGACTCCTAATGTGTATCCAAGTATCTTTCAGGTCCAGGGTACATAGATATTCTTCTTTGTTTAGAAATAAAGAAAGTGAAACACAATGGTAGCATCCCAAAGTTTTCTTTTTAAATCTAAGTTATTAGCATTTCTAAAAGTCCACATAAAATTTATCATTTCCCCTAATTTCTAGGGAAATGCATAATCCTTTTAGAATGTCAGTGCTTCAAACCAAATATACAATTTTTATATTTGGAAGGTAATTTTCTGGATAGCAAGAGTGAGACCTTTCTTTCTTTGATATAATTGGCCATCTGGCCGGCTGTTCAGAAATAAATTCTGTATCTTTTTGAATTAACCCTGAGTATCCAATTTTATAGAAATGAGAACATTTTCCAGGTATTAGAATTTCCAGTAAACTGAGCCTTATTGAATGCCATTTTGGTTTTCAGATAGGTTAGACAAAAATCAGTCATGTTCCTCAAGGTACAACCATCAATTAAAGGCATGAAGATTTCAAAGTATTTTAAAATTCTGTAAAGTTGCATATATTTCCACTCTCTCTAATGTCAAAGGTATAAAACAAAATGTTAAGACAATACTTTCAGGTTATATAAGAATTTTTCATCTGGGGCTCTTAGTATGAAATGTGAAGACATTTTAATATTTGACCTTATAATTTAAATGGTCAAGGCTTGCAGTGATATGATTTTCATACTGGATGCAACAACATAAATAGATTCTCTTACAAATTTTGTTCAAAGATAAAAAGAGAAGCTCTCTCTCTGGCCTGAAGTTACTTATCTAGGGTTACTATTGTTTAGAATTATCTAAGAAAGAAATTGTATGCCAGCCTAAGAGAACTCAAACCATAAATAGAATCTGGTGACCCTTTATGATAACTCTCAGAAAGATTCCCTATTTAACAAATGGTGCTGGGTGAATTGGCTGGCGACTTGTAGAAGACTGAAACTGGACCCTCACCTTTCTCCCCTAACAAAAATTGACTCTCACTGGATAAAAGACTGTAACTTAAGACATGAAACTATAAAAATTCTTGGAGAGAGTGCAGGGGAAACACTTAAAAAAAATTGTTCTGGGAGAATACTTTATGAGGAGGAACTCCCTGGCAATTGAAGCAACACCAAAAATACATTACTGGGATCTGATCAAACTAAAAAGCTTCTGCACTACCAAGAACACAGTTAAATAAAGCAAGTAGACAGCCCTCAGAATGGGAGAGGATTTTTGCAGGTTATGTTTTGACAAAGGTCTAATAACCAGGATCCACAGAGAACTCAAACTTATTAATAAGAAAAGAACAAGTGATCTCATTTCATTGTGGGCAAGAGACATGAACAGAAGCTTCTCCAAAGAAGACAGGTGTACAGTCTGCAGACACATGAAAAGATGCTCATCATCTTTAATCATCAGAGAAATGCAAATCAAAACCACTTTGAAATATCATCTAACTCCAATAAGAGTGGCTCACATAACAAAATCCCCAAACTACAGATATTGGTGTGGATGTGGAGAAAAGGGAAGACTTCTGCATTGCTGGTGGGAGTGCAAGCTAATACGTCCCTTTTGGAAAGAACTATGGAGAATACTCAGGGATCTAAAAGTAGACCTGCCATTTGATCCTGCAATTCTTTTACTAGGTGTATATCCAAAAGACCAAAAATCACTTTGCAACAAAGATA